ATCATTTGCGAGCTACAACACCCCCAATTTGTAAAACTTAAGCAATTTTAAAATCTAGCAACCCCGCTTTACAAGGGGAAAGAGGCCCTGAGTGGTGAATTGGTTTCTAAGATGGATATCTATTTGCAATTTAAATTTGGTGCTAGGAACAGTTGGCAACAGGGGCTTGGAGCAAGTCAGTTAAACACCAGACTTTCTTTCTGTCCTATTTTATCCTCCAATCATGTTTATACTTGAGTGAAGAACATGAGGACTGGGGCGAAGAATGGGCCTTAAAAAAATGTTGCACGGTCTTGTGCGAATATGTGTGTTTCTTACAGAGTGCCTGGACTGCAACTGCCCAAGGTCATTTCCTTTCACATCCACCTGGACTCATCCACTAAAAGGTGCACCTCACCTCATTCTCAGCTGATGGCAGTAGTTGCCAGCTCACGGATCTGAGGGTCAGAGCTAGCCCTTCCTTGTCTATTACCTTCCCAGACAGTGTCTGATGTTTGGGGGGCACCAGGACCCTGACCATGGTGTACTGGACGGCATCAGTTCTGACCAGTCAGATGTCCATTCTAACAGGTCAGTGCCCAAGAGGGACCAGTTGTTAAGCATCTTTAACTATCACCTAGTCCAGGTTCTTGGATGCCCAATCTTATGGTGTGTAGAAGTGAGGGAGGCGCATTCAGCTGACATCAGAATCAGGGTTGCAATGGAATGGGAGTTTTCTCTCCTTCAGAAGCCCCACCTATAAGTCTGGGATGCTCAGGCCCATGGCCAGTGAGCTTGTCTGGCAAACCAGAGTGTAGCATCACACTGAACTTTGAATGGACCAGAGGGGCACTTTGGGGAGATGAGCCCCGAGTCCCCCCTCCAATCCTCATTACTCACCTTCCCTCCTTCTAAACCGCTGAGGGCAGGGGAGCAGGTAACTACTAAGTCAGACCAGGCTCTTAGGAAAACTGGACCTTTGAAAGGATGCGGGGGGATGAGTTAGGAAGGCTAGCTCTGAGACCTATTACGTAATGTTACTGCAGGGGGCAAAGAATTCGTAGGACAGCGCAGCCTAGCACGGCAGTCAAGACAGGGGCTTTGGCTTCTCTTAGAATTAGGGTCATTTGCTTTATCACAAGCAAGTTATACAACCGCTCTGAGCCTCAGTTTCCTCACTGATGAACTAAAGACAGCCACCCTACCTAGCTTCAAGAGGTTTGGTGAGGACTGAGTGAGCTAGTGCTTTAAAGCAGTAAGCACGGTGTCTGGCAGTATTTGTACTCAACAAATAGTAGCTTTTGGCGCCACTAGTAGGTGACCATCGGGTTGCCAGGAGGATGACATGTGTTAGCGTCTATAAAGCACTTGGAATAGCTCTTGGTTCATAGCAAGCACTCAATAAATAAATGAATGTTAATGACCACCATCATCTTCACCTTCACCATTGCCATGATTTCTGTTATTACTAGCTACATCCTCTTTAACAAGAGTTCTGTAACTGTTTTATGATTAGAGACCTCATTTGGGGACTAGGGCATTGGGTTGTAAGTGAGGAGACCTGTGCAGGCTTGCCCTGTCCCTAACCGGCCAGGGTGTGACCTTGGATAAGAGATGCTACTTCTCAGGGTCAAATTTATCCTGATTGTAAAAAGAGAGGAGGTTTCTTAGGGGGAGCCCTGCACTCCTTTCCCACCCTAAGGCTCTGTGAGTGTCAGCCTTCCCTAAGGATGCCATGTATGCCCATCACTGGGCCAGACCCCAGAAGGATATTTATCCAGTAGATGTTTACTGAATGCCTTCTGTGTGTCAGGTGCTGAAGGCATCACGGTGGGCAAGACAGCCATGCCCATAACTCCCTCTTGAAGGTTACACTCAAGACTAAAGCCCAGGGGATAATCAGAAGAGTTTTAGTTTACGACTTGGTCCAATTGACTCTAAATTTGGGGTTCTGCATGAGTTGATGGGGGCTGTTTTACCAAAGCTCCACCCAATCTCTGATTTAGAATTTGAATTCACTCTTTGAATGCTTTGAAGAACATTTTACATTTTTTTTTTCTTCTCATTCAGCCCTAGGGAGACATTTCCCCAAGCAAGCAATTTAGAAACACAACTTTGAAAATCATCGCTTAGGAAGAGACGTGTCTCTAGGGAAATAGCCCCTGGAAGAAAACCCCTGCCCTTCATAACCCGTTATATGATTCCTTGGGCAGGACAGAACTTCTGAGATCACCACAGCAAAAGCCTTATTTTATAATAAAAGGAATCAAGAGTTTAGCAAAAATATATCTCAGTTTTGCTCCTCTAGACGATACACATGAAATTGTCTTTCCTCTTTTACTTCTCATGTGTTAATCCTTGGAAAATTTACTTCAAGAAGAAATTTTTCCTTCTTTCCTTCCTTCCTTCCTTCCTTCCTTCCTAAAAGATCACAGGGTGCCACCCTTGCCTTCCAGAAACAGCCGTCCTTTCACAGAATTGTCTTCTCCCAGGGAGTGGTACTGGCAGGTAATTTGTAATCTTCCCTAGCACAGGTCAATATCAAGTAGGGGAAGGGTGGGCAGGGCTGGTGCAATAGCACCGTGGTCTCGAGTATGATCCCAGGTCTCCCGGAAAGGCAAAGCATAGGGTGAGGAAGATGAGTCCTGCTCCTGGCGCCGCCTCACTGGCCACTGTGCTAGGGCACTGAGCCCCTGCTGGCTGCTCAAAGTTGGGGTGCTTCCAAGGATTAAATAAGTGACTGAGCTTGAAACTTGGCTTGAAAAACAGATATAGGGGGCTGCGGGGATTCTGGTCCTCCGTTTCATGTCCTTCCTCCCCCAGTTATGGCAAATCCCAGATGAGTTAACAGTGTGTGGGGAAGACTGGGGGTGGGGCTGGAGGAGGGGCTGCGGGAGAGGGGTCTCAGGCCTGGGTCAGGACTGGTCAAGTCAGGGGTCAGCCTGCGGACAGGGGCACCAGAAGGGGGGATAATGTCACACCAAATGACACAAAATTGTTAGACAATTTTCCCCAGTGTGGGCCCAAGCAGGAACCACCCCCCCACACACAATGAAACACATCCATAGCAGAAGAGCCCCGGGATTTAAATATATATGTAAATGCCCTTCTTAGCTCAGGCCTTGCAGCTTATTTCTGGATACCATTAGAACAACCTAACGTGGGGAGTAGGGGCTTTACAACACATTTGGCAGGGAAGTGTAGCATTATGTGCAAAGTGATTTCCTGATTGCATTTTAAAACTTAAAAGTCACTGGCCTATAGAAGAAATTCGGTAAAAGTTCAGTGAATGGACAAGCGAGGGATGCCTGAATGGGTGCAGCTCTTAGGTTTTCATAGCAGAACAATGGGCAGCTGCTGGTCCTTCCCTCACATGTCAAGGTCAGCAAGTGGTCTGGGCCAGGCAGAGCCCACATCTGGGAGAAGACAGTGGGAGCCGAGAGGAAGACCCTCCCCACTGCGTCCTCCACCACCTCAAGACTTGTCTTGCCTGATTTCCTTTCCGATCCACGTTTTTGAGGCGAACAGCTACAGAACGTAGCGTTTCTCTATCTCCGCGTGGGAGCATGTCGTGTATTAACTGAACACTATTTGTGAAAGTTTTCTGAGCTCTTGGGGAAACCGAGAATGAGGAGGAGGGAGAGGCAGAGAAACGTTTGGTACTTGAAGAGCACTGGAGTTCACAGAAGGAATTCTGCAGTGGCCTAGATGGGAAGGGGCAAGGAGAAAAGGAGAGAGCAGGTAGTGGCGCCTGCCCCAGGTTTGAGTCCTTAGGGCCTTGGCATCCCGGACCAGGACTGGCCTTTCCCTTTTGAGGGATCTGTCAGCTTAGCGAGCCCTCAACTAGCGCTGATAGTGAATGAAATAACAGATGGGACAAAGGAGGGGCGCACGCGGTGCGGGACTAGCCCCACGGAGGAAGGGACTTTCTGCCCGCTCTGTGACCTCACTTTCTCTCTGCCCAGGGCCAGGAGGCTCTCCAAAGGGCCCCTCAGAACCCTGGCTGCACACTCCCCCCACCTGCCTACAGCGGGTTGGTGGCTCTTTGTAGCGCCGAAGCGGAGAGGGGCCGGCCCAGGGGCGGGGCGCGACTCTCAGCCTCCAGGACCCACAGCAGGTGCGTCCCGCGCCGCAAGCGCGCACTCTTGGAAGTCCGGCGGCAGGGCAGGGGCTCGCGGTACCCCCGCTCCCCCCGGAGAGATCGAGAGAAAAGCGAGGGCTAGACCGCGTGCTAGGCACCATCCTCCCCAGCCCCCGAAGACGAGAGGGCGGTGGTACAGACTTTCCCGAAAGGTCTCCATCGCGGCGCTGCGAGCGCACAGGAGCCCGGGGGCACAGGGGGAGCCGCGGGATTAGCTGAGCGCCCAAAGCCAGGTGAGGGTGGGGAAGGGATCTCAGCTAACCCCCGCGCGCTCCGCCTCTAGCGGTGTCAGCCCACACCCCTGTGCTGGGCTCCCGGGCCGGCGGGAGGCGCGTGTGCGTGTCTGTAGGTACCGGGGACACTCGCCTTCCCGGGAGCCCGTGAAGAGCCCCAGCCCTCCGCCCCGGCCCGGGGATCCCCTCCCCCAGCACAGAGATCCCCGCGCGCCCCCTGCCCACTTTGCTCAGGCGAGAAAGCGGCCGAGCAGGAGACAAAGAAACTCCTGCCTCCTCCACTCTCGGCCCCTCCGCCCGCCCCAGACACTCCCGGGCGCCCTCCCTCGACCCCGGCGACAACGCGCGCGGACATGCAGAGGAAAGGAGACAGGGTGGGCGAGTCCGCTCCCCGACGCGGACCAGCTGGAGGCTGGCAGGGCTCCCTGCCCGGGGACTCCCAGTGGCAGCCGCGCCCCCACCCTCCGCTCCCCAAACAGTCCCGGGCTCCCTGCACAGCCACCCCCGGCCAAAATCGTCCCTCGGCTCTCCAGCGGAGCGACAGGGGGGCGCGGCGCACACAAAGCGGGCGTGAGGGAGGATGCGGAGTACCGGGGTGGTAAGAGATCCCGCCAGGGCTCGGCATGGGCCCAGGCGCAGCTATTTACCCGATTTCTTCTTCGATCTCCGAGATGTCTGCGAAGATGAGGAAGACCACGAGCAGCGTGAGCGCAGCCAGCATCCAGCTCCGGAACTGCAGCTGCATGGTGGGTTCGCGCCCACAGGGACCCGCGCGGGCCGGCGCAAGGAGCTGGGGCTGGAGGGCGCAGCGGCAGGCGCGGGAGCCTCCGCGCGCGGCGCCCAGCGGGGCAGACACCCTGCGCTCCGGGCGAGTCTGGGCCGGCGGCGGCGGCGGCGACAGCGGCAGACAAGGGTTGCTCAGGCGCGGCGAGCCGGCTCGCTCCCTCTCAGCTCCCGTCCGCCCCTCCTCTCTACTGCCCTCCCCTCCCTTCCCCCGCCCCGCGCGGGGCTCCGCGCGCAGTTTGACAGCTTCGCTCAGCTCCTCTGCCCTCCTCCTCCCACCCGAGTCAACTCGCGTCCAGCCTCCCGCCTTTGCTTCTCCCGCTTGGCTTCTTTCAGCTCCCGAGGGCGCTGGGATGTGGCCGGAGCCTGCCACTCCCCGCTTAAGGAGGCTGGGCTCGGGGCACCGGGTGCGTCCGCGTACAGAGCTGAGCCCAGGGAAGAGCGCGCACCGCCCGGCGTACCCCGCCGGCCGGCAAACGCCCTCCCTCGCTCGCTCTTTGTCCAGCGCCCTCGGTTTCTCACAAAGTTTTCCCGACACAAAGACTAACACCTGGGGACAGCCCCCGCGCGCGACGAGGAGGCCGTTTCGGCCAGGCGGATGTTTCAGCAGTTGACGAATTAGGAGGGGTGGTGGAGGAAGGGGAGGGGAGAAGATATATCCAGGACAGGCCAACTTCGGCAGAGATGCAGATTGCAATTTGTGGGCGAGGTGCTCGACTGCCGAGAAACCACCGCCTTCAGGCGGTCATCTTGGTCTCCATTGATAGACCCAAGGAGACCAGGTCCAGAGAGTCCCCTGAGTTGACTGAACTCTTGCAGCCTTGCCTAGAACCCTGACTCCTGCTGGAGTGGCTGCTCTACCCACAGTGTCAGACTCAGTGCCCGCCCTGCCTGGGCCCTCGCGGTGCTAATTCTGAGCTGGGCTTCATCTTACCAGCTCTTGCCCTCTCCTGGCAAAATCAATAATCACCGCCCCCACCCCACCCCCGCCCCGGAGTCCTATCTTGATCTAAAGGTCTGCTAGAAAACATGGCTCCCACAAGGGGTAATGCCCCCCGTGCTGAATATTTTATGCTTCCCCAACCTTAGACAGCTTAACTTAAATTACATTTTGCACCAACCATTAGCCTGGGGTGGGAAGGGCCCCATTAAGTTTTACTGGAATTAGATAATTACCCAAATTTTCTTTTTCTTGCACTGATTGTAACAATCCCGAAATCAGGAAACTTCCCAGAAATGACAAGCTGGTTATGAAAGTGAGAAGCTATATGGAATGTCCTCTCTGGAAAGCCCTGGTGAATGAGCGGGAGAGGCAGATTGGCTGTGCCCCCGGGGCCACCCATACAGAGCCAGGTCCCAGAGGGGCTTGGAGAGGAGCTGGCAGTGTCTAAGCCCCTTCAGAAGAACCCTGGGTTGGGAAGAGGGCCTTTTTGATTTCCCCTCCAAAGCCCTGGCTGTGCTCTGCCTCTTTGCCTTCTTCTGCCTCCTTGTGTGTAGGAGTTGTATTTGTTATCATTTTGCCTTGTTTTTCCGAGATGAATGGTTGGGATTGTGGGATAGGGAGAGGACGGAACAGAATACAGCTGTTATGCTGCTTAACATTTCAATCACTCATCCATTCACTCCGTCACTTGGCAGTATTTATTGAGCACCTACTCTGTGCCAGGCTCTGTGCTAGGGGCTAGAGATAGCATAAGAAGAGAGAGGCACATGTTTCCTGCCCTCTAGTGGTTCATGGTTCACGAGGAAGACAGACCTGGAAATTTGTAGTTGTGGTAGGGGCTGTGAGCCACAATACGGCTATGGCCTCTTGAATAGCTTACAATTGATTAATAAGATGACCCGCAAAAGCAAGAAGGAACTGGCTGGCCTCTCTCTCCCCAGCTCTCTGCTTCTCTACCAACTACAGTCTTACTATGCGGAACATCGTGGAGAGATTGCCATGATCCTAAATTTATCCCAGGTCAGGTAAACGTCCCTGCTATACGCACTGCTACAATAGAGTCTACTTCCACTTCCTATTAGGTGACCCATGTTATCATCCCAGCCTCAGAGGCTTCCTTCTTTGGGCTCACTTGAGGAGTCATTATGAGTGGCCAGGAGGAGTAGAAACTTGGTGAATAGTTCCATCCCTTGTAGAGAAATCCTTGTGACCAGACCCAGAGAGCAACATCCCTCAAGTACATCTGCTGGAAAGTAGCTCTAGCTTTGTAACGTGGAGGCTGTCTTCGCACTGAGAGTCACTGAGATGGGATTTTACTCTGAGAATAATAGGGAACCCTTGTGGTAGTTGATTGTGGAATGCTGTCCCTAAGCACTTGGGCTTGAGTCTGTGTGGGCCAGCTACACTTACAGTGATCTGTGTGCATTCACCGCCCCTTTTGCAGCTGTCTCCAAAAACTGAGTTTGTTCCTGGGATCTGGAAAGAGGAAGAATGATTGGATCAAAGGTGTCACGTCTGCTGATGCTGGGTAACCTGCCGCGTGGGCGCACGCTTGGCTTGGCCATCCTGACCCCTCCTCTCCTTCTGACCCCTCTGTTTAAGTGTGACTTTTTCCTGCCTTGGTTTGTCCAAGAAACTGGAAGGTCCCACAGTAATCATTTCTTTAAGCTAAGTCATTGAATGTGTGGGTTAAAATATAGGAGTTTATGGGAGTGGCAGCAAATGACAAGTCACTACTACCCATTAACATGTTAGCTCAAATTAATAAAGTCTATTAGCTATTCAGGCACCTCATCAGGCCCCGGGAAGTGCGTATTAATGAGGGAAAGGGGAACAGGAAGCTCTGCAGAGCCCTGAAGGGGCTCAGTCGAGTCCCACCCAGTCATGGGGCAGTCCCTTCTCATCCCTGACACTGGCTAAGGGCATGCTTCCGCTTCCAGGGGCCAACTTCAGGAATGTGGACCGCCACCCCGAGCTGAAATTCGGAGAAACTCAAAATTGCATGTACCATTTACACATCTAACTAAACTCCCCCCACCTCTCACCCCCAGATATATAGACTTTTCACCAGAACGACTTCTTAGGTGGTAATGAAGAATCCTTTTGGCAATCCTTTCACATGGGTACTGCTTTCTTCATTTTACACTGGAGGAAACGGAGGCTCAAAAGAGGCTAAGCTGACCAAGATGTTTCACCTGGCAGAGAGGAAATTTTAGTTCAGTTAGGCCTCCCCTGGGCCTCAGCAACTTCTGGGATCAGATTGCCAAGGCCCCCTCCAGCACTCCAGGCAGCTCTAAATGGATTTGTAAGCTACCGTTGCCTTTGATTCTTACTGTATCTTCTTAGTTCTGGGATGTCAGGATTCACGGAACAAATTTATCTTCACTCCCTGCACACCCTTCATCATTGGAGAGACCATGATCATAAATCTCAATTTTTGTCTTTCCACATGAAAGAGCCTAGGCCTTTCAGTCAATCCAAACTTGTTTGAAAAACTCAATAATAAATAATAATTTTCTCATTCAGAACTCTTACCTGGTAACTATCACCCTTGAACTCTCTCCGAGACGGAGAGAATTTTGACATCTTTAACATTTTAGAATGTTAAAAACCTGCAAAGTGGTAATGACCTGACTTTTTCATCATCTCTGAAGCAGAAGCTATGAACAGCTATCGGCGGGACAGGGTGGGTTGGGGGGTGTAAGGAAGCAGAATATCATAGTTGGAACAGACTAATAGGCTGTTGTGTTTCTGTACCTCCAATAGCTGAGAGAACCTGCCTTCCTTTCTGAAATTTACTCTAAATTCGAATGTTCTCAGAAATGCAACTTTTCACCCTTCAAAATCAGAATCGAGCCATAACAAGGAAAACAAGAACATAGGCACATCTGCATTCCATCTGTAGCTTTTGTAAGTGGTAAAACTGTATATTAGCCAAAGAAAGGAAGGAAATATATCCAGACAATTGCTATAAATGTTTCTGGGATTATCAGCAGGAGATCTTGGAAGGGACTTGGGAATGTGCTCCCCAGGGAATTGGAGGTGTTAGCAGAGAGTGGGGAAATGGTTCAGTTTCGCCGGGATTTTTCTAACCCTTCAGATGGTATTAAAGGTAGCTTGAACCAAAGCATGAAGTCAGGTACCAGGTGGCAAAGATAAACCTAAAAGAATGTCCTCACTTTGCTGTACATCTGAAACTAGCACAACTCTGTAAATCAAATATACTTCAATAAAAAAGGGTTTAACCAAAAAAAAAAAAAAAGAAAAGAATCATACGATTAAAAAAAAAAGCATCCATGATACCAGTCCTTTGTCAGATACACATATTAAAAATACTTTCTTACAGTCCAAAAAAAAAAGGTATGTCCTTTCTCTATTCTGACCAGTGCTTCAGCGAAATTATCACTGCGATCCTGGAATCAGCTTTCTCTGAGTCAGCTCACCCAACTTTGTTCAGAGTCCAGCATGACCCCTCACCTGCCACCACCCCTTGAGGCATCTGAGGAAGCTGGCCTGAGCTGGCCATCCGTGGCACTCAGTCCTGTGTCTCTTCTTTTCACCTCAGTTTGGATCATGGACCTCCATATTTTCAGAGCTGGAAGAGTGGGTAGAGACAGCTCCTGGCCACTCATTTACTTAAGTGTTGCTGCATCACCTGTCATGTGTCTGGAACTCTGCCAGAGGGCTGGGATGTAGTGGGGCTCCGCAGGTACAGTTTCTGCTCTTCTGCTGCTTGGAGTCCTGGGGGATTTTACAGATGGAAAACCCTGGGACCCAGAGACAAAAAGACTTGACCACAGCCCCACTGCTAATTTCAGAACTGAGAACAGAATTCAGCTCTCCTGTCTTCTAGTTGAGTTCAGTGCTAGCTCTCCTGCACATACCAATTTTATTTAGTTTTTCATGACATTTCAGTGAGATTGTAAATTCTCAAGGGGTGTGGACCTCTATTTCTCTTCTGGTCCCATGTTATCCATTGTGGTAGAAACTAACTCAATACCTGTTCCAGCCGTGGCCAATCTCAAGCCCCAACCATCACCTCACTGAAGGCAATGTTGAGAAGAGTTGATATAGTATTTCTACCATGTACAGACCATACATGAAATAATCTCAAGA